AAATGTCGATTTCTCAGTCGATGTGACTTTTCGTTAATATATGGTTGAATATTTTGACAAAAGATTTGCAATTGTTAAATCGTATTGTTTTAGAAACCATTTTCATGGATAGAGGTCGATTTTTACTATGGAGTGGGTTGGAAATAGGTATTTAGTTCAATCATCAATACGTGTCAGAAACGATATAACCTCAGTGTTGTAGGAGAATGTGAGGATATCAATACTTCTGAATATAAGTAAGAAGAATGTTAATTGACCTTCTTGAAATTTCAGATCTCAAAGTAACTATTTTTGTTGATAAATTTCAGCACTATCTCATCTTTTTCTTATTCCTTCGATTATTTTTATGCAGTCCCAATGCTTTAAGATTTCTTAAATGTTTGGATGTTAACACGGAATCATCGCAGTCAAATGTTGTATACACTGAATTTCGATTAGAAAATTAACAGATCTTTCTTTCAGAATATTAACTCATCGACAGTACCCAAGTTAGAATATTTGATATTACAATCAACAATGTGTATATTAACACTTAATTACTTGCTTACGCTTGTCAAGCCTCATGGAAGGCACAGGTTTCCGACTCTGTCCTGGGAAATCCTTTCAAGTTGCTATTCATCCTTTTCATGTCTGCTTCCGATTCGCAACACAGCGTTCTTTGGTCTTCCTCTTTTCCGTTTCTCCAAGGTAGCGCTTGCTCCGTGATGCAGTTTGAGCATTTCCGTAATGTATATCCTATACATTTCCATTTTTTCCCTAATTTTCTCCTCAGCTGGAAGTGTTTGTCCTCTCCTTTAGTAAATCGTTGCTGATAATATCCGACCAACGGACATTGATTTTCTTTCGTAGGCAATTGTTTATAAATAACTGTATATTTCCGATGATGGTTGTAGTAGTTATCGAAGTTTCAGCCCCGTACAGTACAGTTGCATTGACGTTCGTATTGAAGACTATTACTTTAATATTGTTTGACAGTTATTTTGAGTTCCATATGTTTTTCAATTGCAAGAATGCAGCCCTTGTTTTCTCAATCATTGTCTTTACATCTCCATCGGATCCTCCTTATTAGTCGGTGATAATTTCCATATACTTGAAAGATTCTACGTGTTCCAGAGCTTTTATATCAAGTGTGATTGTATTGATGCTCTCTGTGTTATAATTAAGGATCTTGATTTTTCCCTTATTTTCCATCACTTCAGATGCATTAATTTCTCCATATACCTGAGTAAATCCACGACGTCCATACTGCTTTGGACATCAGATGACCCTGTTCTTGTTTAGTATGTTCACAGTACAAACCAGGAACAAATGCTGACTAATATCTCAATGAAACAGAATCATATTCATGGGGTGAAAGTGGATAAAAGTCTGTGTGTCAAAAACAAATACCGGATTATTGAGTTGTAATGTACTATGCTCATCACATCACTTGTATTAGTTCTTACCACATCTCTGTACAACCTAATTATGTTGGAATAGGCACAGCTATTAATTCTGTCTTTCTAATCTTTTCAGGTATTTTCAAACTTTTACTTCATTTTATCATACCATAACTAGACTTTATATATATATATATATATATATATATATATATATATATATGCTCTTTATCTACACACATATATCTGTACACTTATTTGTCTTATCCACTCCCTATGTCCTTGAGTATATTGCTCATCCTCTATCTTGACGAGCAAACTCTCGAATAAGCAGCTAATTTCTTATAGGGCTGATGTAGATCACACCCGTGAATACTAGCATAATTCTCAGGCGTTTGTATATTTACGTAGTCTGTAGAAGCCTGAAATCCACCAAAGTCGTTGCTATCAACGTAAACTATGTTCTTTTTTCTACTGTTGTTTGCTGCTGTACAACATTTTCTGAAGAAAATCGACTTGATACTATTTTTGAAGAGTCTATTATAGCCAGGTATGTAAATAATATGATCGGAGATAATCACAAGTTATTCTACAGATTAACAATCTGTCACACGACGTTCAATTCAAAGTTCATACTTTCCACTTGCGCGAAATCAGCAGGAATTGCTTTTCTACTGTAGTCTTTCCGCTTAAACGAATATTTGAAAGAAGCGCTTTCGAAACAATTTCCTATTCGACTTGTTTTTGCTTCATTGACAATACATATGAAGGTCATAAGGGTCCATTTTTCGTCGTTTGTAACTCATAGGCTAAACTTATGTCCAATACTCTGTGTATTCTACATAGTATGAACTCATGATTCATCTGTAATCAATGTGTGCCTGATTTGGAATTCCAAATACATTACGTTCATCTGTGCTCAACTAGTTCTATTTGCTATAAACTGCCCTATTTCGATAATTCCTAGGTAGTACAATTATTCGGTTACTGCTAATTATCACATTGGCGTCGAGATGGAGCCCGTGATGGGACAGTCGGACATATATTCAAATTCTGAAGCCTTCGAAGCCTACATGGAAATGTTAAAAATCCAGGCTATGAACAAAGGAGATATTAGACATGTTAATATTGTGGCTCATTTAATCACATTTATCTAGCTTTACCAGGAAAGTGAACTTCAGTCAATACAAGCCTACTTTCACGCGGTATTTGTCTAGAAAGCTAGAGAGACTAGTGTTCGGGAAATAATTGGGTCGATACAATGAGTACAAGTGCATCAAATGAAAGTCAAAATCATTGTGCGACAAAATCTTCTAGTCAATCAACTTCTTATCGGATTTCTAATGTTATTTTACCAGATATGGCTTGTCCTAATGATTCACATATCCGAGGAAAATACGTTGAATGAATCAAATCACGATCGGAAATCTGATGCAGTTTTGATCGATGCTGATTTTTTTAATGATCCACTATCCTCCAATGACATTTCTAATAAATTTGAAGAAAATATTTCAAAAGAATCAAATCCTGATGCCAAGCCAAGGATGTTTGTTTCTATGATGCATGTGTTTCTTGTGTGAAACTTGTTCGATGCGAAGCACGAGTTCTAAGTGAGCTCGATTTTGATTACAGTCCGGATAACTTCATACCAAACTCTTTTTATCCTCATCATGAAGTCTCTTCTAATGAATACTCTAGTCAACGTGCAAACTATGTTATAAATCTAGCCACATCATTTATAACTCGAGGAAACGAAGATCCAACATTATTTTGTACGGAAGAATAGTGAGATAATCTATGGTTCGTCATTTATATAACTGTGATTTCAGTACATGGTGGTCATATAAAACCCCAGGACTTGGATGAGTTCATTCCAACTTTGGTTGTCAATTCTAACAGTAGTGAGCAAAGTCTAGATCACACAGAGTCTGTATTCAGTACACAGTCTGACAAAAGCAATCAAGAGGAAGTTTTTATGTATGAATGATTGTTTAACCTTTATTTACATCGTAAATTTTAATTTTTAGGTTAGTTGATTTCTCGTTTTCAGCGGCGCGTTATCATCGGCTATCATCTGCAAGTTTAGGAGGGTACATATGAAAAATCACTGACGGGTGAATAAATACCGGTAGTCGCATGTTCCATGGTACAGAGAAGAAATAGCTGATGATTTTTCAACCAAGACTTACAAGCGTTTCGAGTCAGGTAGTATCAAGATAATAGGCAAACGTGCGTCACCCAATTTATCCAAGGGTATAGGGTTGCAGAAGCACCTTGGAGTACAAATAAGATAGGGTTTTTGAAATTAAATGTTCTATGGTTCTTTGTTGTGATAGAAAAAATAGTGACTCTGACAGTGGCTTTGATAAATAGATCAATTACGGTAATAAGGTCATTGTAAACGAATTTCTATATCCTACTTGCCATGCTGTGTGAGAAATGATTATGGAATAGTCCTGAGATTTATCGGAAATATGACATCTCGGCTCTATCCTCTGATGTATAATCTTGAATTATAATTTGAAAATGTTAATCGAATAACCCCTGGCTCAATCCTATCGACTGTGTCAAATGCTGGTTGTTAGAAGCTATGGAAGTTATTTGTAAATAAATGCTTGTGCTATGCTTGCATGTTTTGTTTCATCGAGCATAAAGAAGTAGCAAGAAAACATCTTGATCACCCATCAGTCTGAATAGAGTCACAATTGTTGACGAATCAACTACCGATCTGTGTTTGGTCGTATTGATATTACAATGCTTAGTCGATCATATTCGTGTGATGGTTAATCGTGACGTTCATAACGTGGAGAGTCGAATAATACGGCAAGAAGTAATGTACAACATATATTCTATCACAACTAACAGACTTACAGATGATCCAACAACTGTTGCCTTTTATTAAAAGTAGATTAGGTGACAGAATCTGCTAGCTGCAGTGGTATGAAAGTTCAGACACACTGGCTGATATATATATATATATATATATACATGCAGTATTTCTTTCCTTTAAACATCATTGGCATATTTGTGTTTACTTTGCTTCCGAGTAATTAACAGACATTTACGTACCCGTACTTTCTGCTTCTAATATATCCTGTGTATATTCAACAACTGGTGTTTTGTCTAAAAGACAAGTTCCTCGTTTGGGTTAGGGTCTTATCACTTCAGCTTGTTCTCGATGTCAGGAAAATTTATTCCAGCATATTTTTTAGTAACCAGCTTATTCAACATGTTACTGTTTGAACATAAGAACAGATTTTGTAGGGTTACCAAAGCAGCTCCAGTTACCTGGCTTACCAACTTCCACTGCGAAACTATTCTAGATATTATACCATAGTCCAAAAAGATTTTGTCGGATGAAGCTGGCGCGTACAACAGGACTAGTTGTACAAAAAAGTACTATGGATAGTAATCAATTGTCACATTTGTTGATGAGCATAGTGTCTTTCAGGTAATTACTCAATCAGTAATAATCCTGAAACTGACAAGCGCAGTTACCGTGTCCTACATTTCATAACTGTCCACCTGTTTTATCTAAATGACAATGATCCAGTTAAAGTTGTAAGCGGCTAGTTGAATGCTGCGTTACTTCGGAATGCCGATAATTTGATTCTGTTTACTATGTTGGGGAAGTATCTACAGTTTATGTACTTTGTCTTCTTGTGTTCCACACAACTTTGCAGTGGTGATAAAAATACATCAGTAGTTTATGCTGTCAAAAACTGTGTCTTGTCAGAAAACGCTTCATTCCTTCATGGAATTGTTGGGCATTTGTAAGTTATTTCTTTTGTTTTGAAAATTGCTTCAGATTCTCCGATGAGTCTGACGAAAAAGCGGACTATTATTTTAGCGTTTGTGGTTTCAAAACAGAGGAAAACTCATCAGTGTCATTAAATCAATCGATCATCGCAGTTAGTGAAGCCAGTGTTGTAGAATTAGGATCGTTCACTAATTTTACCATTTCTAACAAAGGTACTGTTAAAACATTAAAACTCATTGACAGGTGATCGGCATCTGGTAAGGTTCAATGATTCAGAGATTATAACAGACTTAATTCTTGGTTGTGGTAGTATGGTAAGTTCAAGCACCAATAACTCTAACTGTTAGTAGGCCGCCTTTCATCTCATCAGTCATGAAAATGATAAGTCCTACAGTTTTGATTTGTTCCATCCTAGTCTTTGTTCTGTTCAACAATCCACGAAATATACTTTCACTGTCATTCTTGTATGGTACGTTTGTGGCTTTTGTTCGTATAAAAATTCCAAAACTAATTTTTCTCGAACACCCTTAGCGACCTCTCGGTTCCTAGTTTTCAATGTCATGAGATTTAACTAAGCATAACTTTCTTGGTTTAATGCCATGGATCTTTGAGAAAATAGACACTAAAGCTCACATTAGATATTTTGAATAAAAAATCTGTTGTAAACTCTAAAACATATCATGTTCTGTTACTATTCGCAATCACCATTAATTATTATGCACTATATTATCTTGGAAAAGGCTTGTCGTACAAAATCAATGTGTCGATCCCTACAATAGTATCAAATATGTCCATGTATGTGACCGTATCTGATTATGTGAACAAATGAACTTGGTCGTACTACTGTAGTAATATTTCTGCCTAGTTGGGAAGAAGGCTGCTATCCTGTTTTTTAATGGCTGAAGTGTTCAGTGAAAATCCTAATATGGATTTCATAATGCCATTATTTTGAATCTGCAAAGTCTAATATTCCAGTTTACTTTGCGATGTCTAATAACACTGGTCTGACAGTCAGTCAGCTACAACGTAGGACCAGGCACATATATGCATCGGTCCAGGTTGCCACACCTCATTAGCACAGCAAGATCAACACCGGATTCATAAGAGTGGTTAGGTCAAAGGTGGTAATATATAGGAGAAAGGTTGCATATAAGGATACAGTACAGGAAGAAAGAATTAGTTAGTGGAAAGAAATACATGGAGTGATTTTAATCTCTTAGTTTAAGGGAAGACAGGGAGTGTATACACCGACGCCATTGTGATCGATTCTGAGCCATGTCACCAAGAGTCTCCAACCATTGGTTACGAAAGTCACGCGGACCCCAACCAAGTAGTCTGCATCTACCAACATGGCTCAGACTACAAGTTAGTGACTCCAGGCACTGATGCCACGTTTTGGTTTGGCCGCCCCTAACTTTCTTCCAACCATCCCCTACACCGGCTAGCATTGCACGTCGTGGTAATCGGTGTTCAGGCATACGTAACACGTGGCCCAACCATCTCAGTCGATGAAGATTCATAACCTCATCAACTGATTTACCATCATTACCTAATACCCTGCGTCTAACCTCACTATTACTTACCCGGTGATCCCAGCAGATGCCAGCAATATTTCTAAGGCATCTGTGGTCAAATACTAGTAGCTTACGGGTGTCTTCTACTCTTAAGGGCCATGTTTCGCTGCCGAAAATTAAAACAGAACGAACTGCCGCGCAGTATACTCGTCCTTTTATTGATAGACGGATATCTCGCCTCCGCCAAAGGTGACGTAAGTTGGCAAAAGCCAAACGAGATTTTCGAATCCGTGCTGAGATTTCGTCCAATACCAGCCCATTAGGGCTAATCAGACTTCCAAGATAAGTGAAGTTGTCAACGCGCTCGACTACTTCACTCCCTATCCTTAGTTCAGGTGTTGAGGCAGGCCAGTCCTGAAGAAAAAACTTGCATTTAGAGGGAGAGAAACGCATTCCAAACATTCTGGCATTGTTGCTTAGTGCTACCATAAGCTCTTACTCGACTAGTAGTGTTCGAGTAAAGAGCCTTTAATAGGTTTATGTACTTCTGGGGTACGCCTTTCAATGACAGACAGTGCCACAGAATCTCGCGGTCTACCGAGTCAAATGCTGCTTTTAAGTCAAGAAAGACCACCATCGTCGGACGTCGATAAGTATGCCTGTGTTCTAGAACCTGACGAATGGTGAATATGTGGTCGATGCAGCCACGACCAGGTCTGAAGCCAGCTTGATTCTCTCGTGTTTGCAGTTCACGAGTCTTAGTTAGGCGTCTGATAATTATCGAGGCTAGTATTTTAGATATTATATTAGTTAAACTAATCCCTCTGTGGTTGTCACAGGATGATTTTGACCCTTTCTTACATATTGGGACGATAAGTGATTGCGACCAGTCAGATGGAATAACGTCTAACTCCCAGATCTTAGCTAAAATATTAGTCAACCTAATCGCTAAAATTGGACCACCATCCTTAAAGACTTCTGGAGCCAATCCATCTGGACCAGCTGCCCTTCCTCGTTTCAGATTAGCTATAGCCTTTTGAACTTCAGCAAGAGTTGGGGGACCTACTTCAATGTTCCATTCACACTGTCTGGGAATGAAGGGTAGTTGTAGAGTAGCTGAAGGCCAGTTGAACTGTTCTCTAAAATGTTCCGCCCATCGTTCTAAACGTCTGGACTGGGAGTAGATGAGAGTATCGGTGTAGAGCCGAGAGTTGAACGCGGATATTTATGACAGTGTACTTTTTATTACCAGTAAGTTTAAAAACGACACCAATATAATCTAACCAAAACATGTTTCAGACCAAAAAGAGACTGTAAATCACCAATCCCAGGGGAATGAACGTAGACTTTTTAGGGATTACGTTAAAAGTTCAGATGTACGTCAAACATGGCTTCTGTATATAGTGATGCCAGTAATAATACTAATAGCTATTTTCGTTTACCGAGTTTCAACAAGAATTATTTTGCTTGTCGATTACACAAACGTCAGATACCAACATAGCCTGATCCCAAAAATATTCACGGTACTGTGTGATTACTTGTATATAGGCATAACATTGTTACATTGTATATATTCTCTACGTATCCTAATAAGCAATATTTTTTGGTCGGAATAACTTCAGAATATATTTTGTTTATAAACACTGCACCATTCTTTTTTGTTCATATCATTGTGTACCTTTCTCAATTTAGCTGTTTAGCTTTCATTGTTGGATATTGTGTGTTAAGTTCTTTAATAAAGAGATACTTATATGGACGACCGTGGCATCAATCTGTTCCATTCACCAAAACCTTTGAACATTTGAAAAATCGATTTCAGGTAAATTCAAATTGCCTTTTAGATCCCTGATATTGATCCACTCTTCCAATTTTCATTTGAAATTAGTTTCATTTAGTGGCATACTATCTACTTAGTACTTTATGGTTAACGACATCAAGTGGAAATCTTCATTTAACTTGTGCTTACAGTTTTTCGATACCAATTGGGAGCATTGTACCGTTTCAAAGAAAACTATCCTACAAATATTTGAACCTGAGTTACTCCCCGACCGTTGTTGCTACCTTGACGTGGTGGTCGGGCTTGCCTATCGTGATGAAGCAACCGAGCTATACTGGCTGGAACAACCGTTCCTCAAGGTCCTACCATGTCAGACAGGTCGGTTGAAGAGCGGTAAGACTAAAAGCAACAAACCCAAGGTCCGAAGGCGAAGTCGTACTGCTGACTGTACAGAGGTGTGACAGCAGTAAGGTGTTTCCTTCAGACAACCAGCATGACAGCGATGCTGCCTTCCCACAAGGAGGGGTGGGGTTAGAAAAGGTCGACCCTAAAAATGCACACCTCGCCTTATCCCACGGATATCCGTCTCCGGCGGTAAGGTCTCAATAAGTACGGAGCTAACACAAAAATTACCCATAACAAGGTCGTGTGTGACCGACCTCAAGCAGTTGTCCCTTGGGCACTGCGGTCACGCTCTCAGGTCACTAAGACCACCTCTAATCCAATTTCCTTTTCAGGTACCTCCAGAACAACCCTTCCACGGTGTGGGCAACCGGGAAGTGATAACCGCCCTCATACTTCTAACAGCACTCAAGACCACTGTATTCATAATCAACCTCCCTCTTCAATTCCTATTATTCCTCCTACATCGACTTTCAACTCTAAATTTCCCCTCTCGGCTTCCACCTCAAGTGTCACCATAGCCAACGATTCTAGTGCGCAAAACACTGTCCCAGGTCTACTGAAACCTCGCTCCAAACTACACATTGGAGCCTTCAACGTACGCACCCTATGTCAAATCGGTCAGCAGGCTTCCTTGGCTAAAACCCTAGAGTCTCTTTCCATTGATGTGTGCTGTGTCTCCGAAACACGCATACAGGATTCCAGTGTGGTCATTCACTTGACCTCACCTCGGCAAACGGAGAGCCAACGAGATACACCCTTCGTGTATCTGGTGACCCGATGGCAAGTTCTCGTGGACTGGCAGGTGTAGGCATAGCACTAAGCATGAGGGCCGAACAAGCACTGCTAGAGTGGATCCCCGTCAACAGTCGTCTATGTGCTGTTCGGCTGAACGGCTACGTAAGAACTCGGAAGGATAGGGACACACGTCGTTGCCTTTTTGTCGTTTCTGCCTACGCTCCCACTGACTGCAGCTCAGATGAAGTGAAAGATGAATTTTACAGAAAGCTGTCCGAACTTCTTCAGAAAGCTAAACGCTCAGACATAGTACTCGTAGCAGGTGATTTTAATGCTCAGATAGGCAGTTTAAACCAAACAGAAAGGCATTTAGGTGGATATTTTAGTATTCCGACACAGCGAACAGATAATGGTGATCGTCTGCTGCAGCTATGCTCAGACAATCGTTTATTTTTAGCAAACACAAATTTTAAGCATAAGGAGAGACATCGTCTAACATGGCGACCCCCTACACCAAACCAACGATGGACTCAAATAGACCATATTGCCATCAGTCATCGTTGGAGAGGGTCGGTAGAAGATTGTCGCTCATTCTGGAGTACCTGCTTGGACTCCGACCATGCCCTAATACGGGCACGCATCTGCTTGCGCCTCACTGGACGCAAAAAAGCCACATTAAAAAGACCCATTAGAACTGAGTTGAGTAACGAGAAAACCAAAAGTAGGTTCCAGGAACAACTGAGGTCACACTTAGGTAGTTGTGAAGACGAGGCTGACCCAGATGTTGCTTGGAAGGGCATACAATCAGCTGTGGAAACAGCAGTGACATCTATTAGTGACTTAAACCACAGAGTTACAAGGAACCAGTGGATTTCTTCAAGGTCTGTCACACTGATGGATTCTCGCAAACTCGTCCCATCAGGTTCTGAACATGATGAAGAGCGTAAACAAATCAGATCTAGGTTAAGAAAAAGTCTAAGGAACGACCGTGAGCAGTGGTGGGTAACGAAAGCAAAAGAGATGGAAAAGGCGGCGACTATAGGGAACACAAGACAGCTTTACAGACTAATAAAAGAAACTGGAATTAATAAGTCAAGTGTAAGTGAGATTATTTCGGAAAAAGATGATACTCTCATCTGCTCCCAGTCCAGACGTTTAGAACGATGGGCGGAACATTTTAGAGAACAGTTCAGCTGGCCTTCAGCTACTCTACAACTACCCTCCATTCCCAGACAATGTGAATGGAACATTGAAGTAGGTCCCCCAACTCTTGCTGAAGTTGAGAAGGCTATAGTTAATCTGAAACGAGGAAGGGCAGCTGGTCCAGATGGATTGGCTCCAGAAGTCTTTAAGGATGGTGGTCCAATTTTAGCGATTAGGTTGACTAATATTTTAGCTAAGATCTGGGAGTTAGACGTTATCCCATCTGACTGGTCGCAATCACTTATCGTCCCAATATATAAGAAAGGGTCAAAATCATCCTGTGACAACCACAGAGGGATTAGTTTAACAAACATAGTATCTAAAATACTGGCCTCGATAATTATCAAACGCCTAACTAAGACTCGTGAACTACAAACACGAGAGAACCAAGCTGGCTTTAGACCTGGTCGTGGCTGCATCGACCACATATTCACCATTCGTCAGGTTCTAGAACACAGGCATACTTATCGGCGTCCGACGATGGTGGTCTTTCTTGACTTAAAAGCAGCATTTGACTCTGTAGACCGCGAGACTCTGTGGCAGTGTCTGTCATTGAAAGGCGTACCTCAGAAGTACATAAACCTTGTGAAGGCTCTTTACTCGAACACTACTAGTCGAGTCAGGGCTTATGGCGAACTGTCATCTACTTTTGCAACCTCAAGTGGTGTCCGTCAAGGCTGCCCACTTTCTCCATTTTTGTTTAACTTCATCATAGACCTATTGATGGAAATAACACTCTCGTCGACTGAATTCTCGGGTATTGATCTCCTTCCAGGAGGTCCACTTATCGACTTAGAATACGCAGATGACATAGTCCTGTTTGGTGAAGACGCTGACAAAATGCAGAGTCTTCTGGTAGCACTAAGCAACAATGCCAGAATGTTTGGGATGCGCTTCTCTCCCTCTAAATGCAAGTTGTTGCTTCAGGACTGGTGAGGTTATGAATCTTCATCGACTGAGATGGTTGGGCCACGTGTTACGTATGCCTGAACACCGATTACCACGACGTGCAATGCTAGCCGGTGTAGGGGATGGTTGGAAGAAAGTTAGGGGCGGCCAAACCAAAACGTGGCATCAGTGCCTGGAGTCACTAACTTGTAGTCTGAGCCATGTTGGTAGATGCAGACTACTTGGTTGGGGTCCGCGTGACTTTCGTAACCAATGGTTGGAGACTCTTGGTGACATGGCTCAGAATCGATCACAATGGCGTCGGTGTATACACTCCCTGTCTTCCCTTAAACTAAGAGATTAAAATCACTTCATATCTTTCTTTCTACGAACTAATTCTTTCTTCCTATACTATATCCTTATTGCAATCCTCCTATATATTACCACCTCTGAATTAACTACTTTTATGAATCCGGTGTTCATCTTGCTGTGCTAATGAGGTATGGCAACCTGGACCGATGCACATATGTGCCTGGTCCTACGTTGTAGCTGACTGACTGACTGACTGACCTGAGTTACTCAGTGTTGAAACTGGAGACTTGACTATTAATCTTATGTCACATCGCTTAGCGCTGATCATACTGTATTCTTAAATCAATCAAATCCAGTCAATATAGAACTAGTTCATCCTATAGATGGCCATTACATGGTTATAAAATATAATTTATCCATATTTAATAATAGTTTTGAATGGAAATAATTCCTTAGATATTGCACAAAGCAGATAAAATTAAAATCAACAGATACGGTCTTGTGCCTATTCGTTCATTATAACGCTGTTATCAAAGTATGTTTAAACATTATTCAATGGTTCTCGCGCCTAAGTCAGTTGCAATCTACTTCATTCGTTCTGTGCCGTTAAGTAACGTAATTTTTCTCAGCATACGCTCATTCTAAATTATAGTTCAGTATACGACCTTGTACCATATGCATTCGAAACCATGATGATCGCCAAGAAAATTCAACTGAATAACTACTTCTAGTCCTATGTAAACAGATTTTACAAACGTTACTTATACTAATCAGTTGGTCTTATCATTATTTCATAACTGACAGATTTTTTTAGGGATAATAATCTAATGGTAGTCGCAACAAATGTAGCAAAACATTTATGTCATTAAAAAAAATCGAAAAGTCCCGTTTTTGAAATTGATAAGTATACCATATATAGATAGTTTATAATAAAACTTAGCAGCTGACTAAAGGTTCTAGTCATCACTTTCAAGGCAAATTTTCGTGAAAAGGCTAATATTACTACCTAGTTATCTAAATCAAAATTGGTCTAGTTAAAAACAATACTTTGTATGGTGACTGTTTACCGAAAAATTAATTTTTAACAAGTGATTGTATAAATTTTCATGTTCGGCTAAATGCTGCTTCATTAATGGTCTTAGCCTTTAAATATCAACTTCCCATACATAGGTCTATATCTTTCTGCAATGTCGCTAGGTAGATGAGTGCTTCGTAAACAAATCAATACCGTTGAAAATTCAATTGTTAATCCACACTGATGTATTTTCAACGGTTACACTGATAAAGCCCCCAAATGCCCTGGTACGGCCGAGAGCGGGAAGGGCCCGCTCTTCCTCTCTAAATGCTCTCACATGGCCACGCGTATACAGCCTCTGCCAAAGAAGTCCTACTCACTACCTTCTCGTGGTGGGGGTGTTGTTTACGAAATTGAGAGGAAGAAAAGCGAATGTCCGGAGCTTTATCTGGGCCGGTGAACACGGTGAGTTCACCTAGGAAAGTTGACAAACCCTGGTTCCAAACCAATGGTGCACATAGGCTTCAGTGCCCTGAAGGAACAAATGGCGTATGAAGCAGTCGTTGGTCACCGGCTACCATGGGACTGCATCTCCTTACGATGCTCCACTGCCTTGTGGATCAGACCTTCAGGTCGAAGGCTCCGGATGTGGCCCCCTAAGAAGACGACCTTCTTCGGTTTGGGCAGTATCACAGCCCACACACAAATAGAATAAATAAAACACTAGTAAAACTAAAGGATTTCAGCTTAAATATAGGTTATAGTACGATCGATACAAACTTTGACAGATTTAGAATAAACAGTCCAGCATTCTATCAGGTTCACACTTGCCTTTACGTGTGAGGAGTTTTTTACCCAGAAATATCATAGAATATCTAGTTTTTGCAACTGTTATAATCATTCTTATGTCTTTCGTATCCAGGACTATATTGTTCTTCATTGTCATCGTCCACAAATTCGCCTTGTTGAACCAGTATATATGCCTCTACCGAATGATTCACCAGAACAATTTAAAACTAAAAATAACGAATCAATATGCGAAAATTCACTAGAACAAAAACAGTTGCTACTGTCGAATTCAGATGAACAACAAGATGATATATTATTGGCTCTTTAACACAGTAAACCAATTATACAAAGTGACTTCATATATTAATGGATTTTATGGAATATTTTTAATCATTATATTTTATTTAACACAATCTTCAGATGAACATTATGTCAATTAACTTAAATAACCTACATTTCTTTTATGTTTTGTTCATTTTTATTCCGTTTTCCCGTGATAATATAACACACTTGTCATTATGGTATTCCGGTGCCTTGAAGTATCTTAGTAATATCATTGTTAACTGAATATAGATTGTGTATTATTAATATTTAGTAAAATGTTCGAAAGTCAAGTAATATATGTATTAAGACATTCCGTTTGATTTTTCTCTTTTCGAAATGTACCGACAACTGTGCTATATTACCTTTTAGATCTTATTTACTCCATATTTCCCGATTTCCCATTTTATTTCAGTTTTCCTTCCGTTTTTTTCTTGTGGATAAGATGTATAAGATAATTGGATTGCAAAATATACAAAACTGTTTGTTTTATTGCTTGGAGCTTAGAAAATCTACTAACATAGGTTAGTGATTAAAGCAATTAGCTTTCAGTCAGTAGCTTATGGGTCCAAACCCTGAACTAAACACTCCTGTTTTGGGTAAGCGAGTAGTATCATCACTCACTCACTCAATGTGGCTTAGAGATAAGCTCATGAACTTGTATTTGGTAAATCAGTCACATCAACTTTAGCTCTTGGTTCCGTCAAGGTATTTAATCCCACCAATCTAACCTTCAAACGATCATATACTGGACATCTATATTTGATCCTACTGTTATTCGAAATTATTTTAATGCCAATTTACTTGAAATTAATTTCATCTGTTCAGTAAGCTGATGACAGCTCTAATTTATATGACCGAAGCACACCAGAGACAACCTACTCGCTATATTTTGTCTTCTCATCTATATTTCTTTCAGCAATTCATTCCAACTCAGCTTAAATCGAGCCGCATGGATTTTTAAACTGACATGTACAGTGCTTTTTAGATAACATTAGTTATAAAGAAACTTATTCATTAGGCAAGTGTCCATATCCTACTCTTGTTTTGATAACGAAGATCTTGTTTAATCAGTTATCGATAAGTAGTAATGATAATAATTTAGGTTATAATTATCTCCTCCAACGTTAGCTTTGTGGCTAAAGAACTTAATTTTTAGCCACTGGATTTCACATTCGAATATTCCCCTCATTCACTACAGTTTGTAGATGACTGACTGTACACTTAGGTAGCACCCTAGTCTTCAAACACTAAATCATATACCTTTAAAGTTTGGTTTTCACATCAATATTTAGTTATCAAGTAGAATCGAGTCATATGGGTAGTAAGTCAATGAACTGAAAATAAAATCAAATTAACTTTAGTGTGTTACACTTGGTTTTTGAGTGTTAATAACATTAAGCTGCCGTAAACTTTTCAAAGAAATCTTTAAACTCAATATTAATCGTAGTCGAAGAAGTACACAGTCAAGTGACCAATCCAGAAACAGGCTAATTATAAACAAAATAAGTAGGCTGTTGTTTATTTGCCATAGTTTGACCCAGCATTTATCTTATCCCACCTAAACAAATGAGACATTACATACAAGAGTCCTTTTTATTGCTAATACTATGAGAATGTAATTATTCGTCATATTTCTAAATGATGAGTGCTTCGTAGACACTTTTTATAGAGTGCTTTCCAATGAACCTCTACAATAAGTGGAACTTCGTATTGCCTACATAATCGGAAATCTTGGTTACAGTGTTTTAAAAAAAACACTCAAGACTTTGTACTTTTTAACGTAAGTCATCAAATATCTTCATTACACACCATTAATTGATAGGATTTAACTGAGTATCACACAGTGTTAGACATTTCTTTAGGAAGATTCTTTCCACGAGATGTGGTTGCTAACCTCTATCCTCTATTCTTCTCCTTTATCCGAACTTGGGACAGCTAGTAATCCTAACAGGGCTTCAGGTACAATATAGTTGTAACTTTCATAGACATTTAATATAATGTGAAGTGATCCTTTGTTAATATCCTTTTTTCATTGATTAGCATACAATATATAGTATATTACCAGACAATTTACATCTTATTGCTTAAGTAATCAAACCTGTTGATTATTTCCCTTAAACAATTAATTCAATTCTGCTTTAATTAAATCAATTATCTATTATATTTGACATAGCTTTTATCCAACTTAAATACATAAAAATTCATTCTTTTCCATAGTTAATAAAGTGTGAATTCTTCGATTATCGGATGTTATTATAAAAAAAAACTTGATTTGACACTAGAAATCGTCAAATGGTAGTAATCACTTTCAGATTATTCATTATGGACATTTTAACATAAAACAGAATTTAATATATTCATTAATTTCGATTGTTTGAGTTTAATTTTATTTATTTTAACACAGATATTGGTACAAGGAGGCACCAAATACATATGCGCCACACAGATCTCATTTGATTTGTGTGTGGGCTGTGATACTGCCCAAACCGAAGAAGGTCGTTTTCTTAGGGGGCCACATCCGGAGCCTTCGACCTGAAGGTCTGATCCACAAGGCAGTGGAGCATCGTAAGGAGATTCAGTCCCATGGTAGCCGGTGACCAACGACTGGTTCATACGCCATTTGTTCCTTCAGGACACTGAAGCCCATGTGCACCATTGGTTTGGAACCAGGGTTTGTCAACTTTCCTAGGTGAACTCTCCATGTCCAACAACCCGGTTAAAGCGCCGGGCGTTCGCTTTTTGTCCTCTCAATTTCGTAACGAACACCCTTCCCACGAGAAGATAGTGAGTAGGACTTCCTTGGCAGAGGCTGTATACGCGTGGCCATGTGAGAGCATTTAGAGAGGGAGAGCGGACCCTCCTCACATCCGGCCGTACCAGGACATATGGGGGTCAAATGAAAGATTAAACTATAAGGATATCAGAATACAATAATCTGAGTATTTAATAATTATACAATGAGAAAAATATCTGTACTTAATGATTCTCAATAAGGATACTTGAAATGAACATTTGTCAAAACTCGGGCGAATAATTTGGCAGAAATTGGTTATTGAGTATATAGAAGTCAATTAATGTAATAAATTGTATCTGGATAATCTCAGCAACTGAAACTTAACTAATTTCAACGTTTCACCCACCAATCTCATCCGAACTTCAAGGAGGGACATAATCGAAATCAATATTATCGAAGAAGATATCAAGCATAAATAATAAAATTACACTAAAATCTTGTTCAACCGTGCTTATTTTGTTTACAATAAGATCGCAAGATAATACAATACTTTTATATCCGGGTCGCTTATTACTTATACCTGAAACGAGTGGCCACTACAACTCCCACGACACGAATTAAGAACACAAAAGACTGGCACAAGCGAAGGATCATTCCCTCTAAAACAACGCGACGATGAACGTGGTTGGAGATATGACTAGAAATAAACTCAACTCCGGTTCACACTTTCGGCAGTCTATTTAGAGACCAATCAGAATGAAGAGGAAATTATCATTTTCGGCTTGCCTCATTCTTTGTTTTTCCTTTGGCCCTTTCGTGTCTCTGCAAAATTTAATCCTTTAGTATGCTGAAATCCCGCAACTTATGTGACACTAAGTGTTAGCGCCAATTTTTTTTAAATCAACAACAAGAACCAAACTTGACCTCAAACGTATCCTCACTAACATGATTCACTGACGGTCTATTTCAAAACAACCACAACATTTATTAAGATTTCTAAGACTGGGGATATCAATCCAGTATATAATGCGTGTCCGACATAACACAGTCTGACATAATAAATAAAAATGTACAGCCACAGCGAGACTCATGGCATAATCTAGTTTTTTAATAAAAATTACATCAATCTGACAATCTCATTGACTACATGAACGTAAACATAACCATTATTTCAGCCTAAGATACACTACTTTGTCGTGACAACGTTGAGTATATTCCCACTCAAAAATACACCCATGTATAGATTGATCTGTTCGTCCATTAATTAGAAAAGAGTTACATATGTAAAAATAAAATGCTCAGAATTATAACAAATCACATGCCGCACGTCATACTAAACATAGTTCATGTTAATTTGATACAACAAAAATTGTATCACACTGAAATAAATCAATTTTATTTCATCTTTATATTGGTTGTTTGAATCTTCTCATTGATGTTTAGGACTATAATTGATCAGTCCTCTTATTGACATATGTGCTTCCTGTGAGAATTACCTCTATATCGCCTTAAGTCATAAACATTATAAGCAGAGATAGATGGTGGCTAGCAGTGAAATCCAGGTCATGTGTTTCGTTCTATTTTGAAGTAAATGGTACTGGGTTTAAGTCGCGCAGTGGATATCAACTCTGGGATGCAGGCACATCCGGCTGACGAGCACCATGATGGGACGAAACGCACGTCCTTGATTCCACTCCTAGTTCTCATCCATCCCTACTTATAAACCAATGCTATCCTCAATCAAATGTCATACTGTAAATGAAATAAAAATTACACTGAATAATTATGTAACTGAATTAAAAACAGTGTGGTGAACAGAACAATAAAATCTGAGAACTATATATTAAATCGTTAATTTGCAAAATGTCCACCAATTGTCCTAAAATGCCTCAGACTTCATTGTTCTTACATTTTAATACAAATTGTATCCTATTCCCGCTCTTGCTTTCTTGATGTTCCCTCATCTTCTACTGTCAGACATTACATTCCTGACTCGTATAATATACTACTTATATCAATATAAGTAGCACGCACCACAACAGTAGTACTCTTTCCTTTTTATCTGCCCCCTCCGTCATACCAAATATGAAAAAACTGTTTATTTATTTGTATGTCATTGTTATTGGGAAAAAAAGTAGTAAATGATGTCTTTATTCACATTCAAGGACAGTTAATCGTTTATGTTTGTCGAAAGTATCAGTCATAGGATGCGTAGAATTAGATCGTTCACATAATTAATTCTGGTGTTAAAAGTGAATTATTCTAATGATAATCACAGATTAGATAAAATATAAAGTTTAAGTAGGCATCCATGAATATCAGTGTCAATCTTTAGGCAATGAAAGTTTAAATTCTTATTATTTATCCGTTAGTTAAGAGTTTCCAAGGTGTAGTTAACTGTATTCCGTCTCTTCGGTCTATGTCGCTCTAGTTCACTCATAAAACCTTTTTTGAAGTAGTTCCATTTCCTGAAAATCGATCTTATACCCAGTCTCTGATGCATGTAATGCTTTTACAAAACTATTTTCAAGCTCATTAAGGATTTTTGAACATGATTTAAAGATTATTTGTGTCCCTCAACCCTGACATTCAACTACTTGAATGTTTTTCTTACATATAATGCATTATACTCAGAACAATTAATTTTCTAAACACATTCTTATTGTTTCCTTATCGGTATCCAATGGTTCCCGTTCACTAACTTAGATTTAATGGAAACACTAGCTTGAAAATCAACATTTATATTTATATTCATCAAGAATAGTTTTTATTCCCTCTGATGTTTCTCCAGGATATGGAATGAATCCTATGTTGTCCCATTCCCTCAGTGAGCATTCTGACTTATTTTTCTTTTGATTTTCAAAACATTTTTCAGCTATTGTTAATGGTAGTTATTTACCCTGAATGTTGATAAACATAAATTAGTTTCAGTTTGTTTATTCTCTGCTTCCATAGCAAGCTTATTGCTTTTGTTTAACAGATTTCTAACAATTTTATATTCCTCATTGACTCATGACCTCAACGATTGAAATTACTACAATCCCCACAAAACCCCTTCTGATACTAATCAATATATGCTCACTAGTGACGGTCTCCAAGAGGTATTTCCTGGAGTTCTAGTGAGAAGCAATCAGAAGTAGAGTTCAACCGGATCTGTTGTGAGATAGTAACTCACTGAAGATAATGGTGGATGTGTCTCTGAAGTTCGTGGATTAGTTGAGGCTAGACATTAACACCGTTGGATGCCGGCCGGCTCAGTGATCTAGAGATTTAACATTTACGCGTGAGATCGATGGGTTATGGGTCGGAATCTCGCGAGACGGGATCGTGGATGCTCACTGCTGAGAAGTTCCACAATAGGACGAGACGGCCATCCAGTGCTTCCACACTTTCAATTATAGTCTAGCTAAGATTGACTCATGATTTCAACTGTGAAAATTATACAGTCTTCACAAATCCCCATTCTAATAATACAGTATAAATCAACCGTTGTCTGATTTTAATCATGAATTGTTTTTTGCAAGTAGCCAACCAGTTTTCATCAATGCATTAAATACTGTTCGTGTAAAACGTTTCTTTACATGGAAATCATAACTTGCCTTCATACATTGTGCACTGAAACATTATAGACTATCTTTTTGTAAGCAATAGTGGCTAGCAGTGGAATCTAGAATGCGCGTTTCGTCCTATTTGGAACTCGTCAGCTGGATGTACCTGCATCTCAGAGTTGATATTCACTCTGGGACAAGACAAACAATATCAAGTGAATTATAGACTATCTGTTAGCGATTTGTATCATAGATTAGAGACTTTAAATGTTAGCTAATATTAACAATAATGATTATATGAAATTATCAAACCAATCAAGGCAGTTTATAAGTCAATGGTAACAACTGAATAAACCGAATAAAGTAAAAAGTACAAATAAATAGTGTGATAACACGTTTACTAATTGTGATAAGAATAACAAAGACTTAAATCAATGTTTCATAACAGGAAATAGCTTAGTGACTAGAACAAAAAACAAAAAAAAAACAATACACTGAAATAACATACATTAGAAACTATGAAACTACGTAATAAGAAATGTTCAGGTAATCGGCCAGAGAAACGTATGTTTGAAAAAAAGGGAATGATGAAAAATGAATGAACAAAGAGTACGGAAAATAATGATAAATAAACTTGTTTATTAAGGCTGATTCGATCAAGGGAGAGATAAATGTGAGTATAAACACAGATTGTTAGCTTGAATCACTATAGCCTCGGCTACGTATAATGGATGAGATCGAACTCAATAAGCAAAATGAGTAGGAATCCGATAAAGCACTTTAAATGACCTATTTCTATATACTACATGACCACTATCAATCAATTGTGATAGAACAGAGCTGCGTATTGTCTTGACGATATCCTTTTCTAACATAAAGGGCAGTGTTCACTAATTCTTTGGCTCAGTTTTCTGGTTGTTTGCCCAATATAGCATTCTCCATAGAAGCAGCTGAGTTCATAGATATACATGAATGTGGCAAAACTAGGTCACTTGTTCTTTAGTTAAAGAATTACCATAGGTCAGCTGGAAAACAATAGACAGAGGTCAGCTTCACTAAGCGTCTAGTCATTCTACCTCGTAGAACATCACTAGCTACATCTTCATTAAATTGTAGCTTAAGTGAGAGATTTTTCTTACTAACCGTTAATGTCGCTGTGTTTCCGTCCATTATACGTCAGTGTTTCTTCCGAAAACCTTGTACATAACCCATTTCAATCAACACGTTATGAATAAGCTCTAGGTTCTTGTTTACATATCGTTTGATCGTAGCTTACTAGCTCTATTTCAGATTACGTGACGTAATCCTTTTTGTATAAAATTTTGTCAAGATTTAAATCTATAATCTACCAAATATTGTTGGTCAAATACACTTAGAATAATTAGTTTATAAGCCTTGCTATCCTATTGAGAACTATTAAAGAATAAAAAGCTATTCCATTTTTCTATGGAAGTTCTCCAATATAAACAGTTTCCTTATTTATGCTAGAAACTATATTCAATTTGAATAAATTTCTACCAATCGTTTACGAAAATATCTATGGTTCAATAATCAATGAATCGACCACATTTATTTGATTTATTATTATCAGAATGGGGTTTGTGGAGATTGTAGTCATTTTAACAGTTGAATTCATGAATTGATCTAAGCTAGACCATCAATGAAAACCTGGAAGTAGTGTAAGGCCGTCTCGTCCTAGTATAGGACCACTCAGTTGTGTGCATCTAGTATCCCGCATGCAAGACTTGAACCTAAGATCTTCGGTCTTACTTACGAACGCTTAACCTCTAGATGGTATCTAACGATGTTAATATCTAACCTCAATTGATTTATGAAATAAAAAAATATCTAAACTCACTCAAACAATTAACCAGTATAGTATTCGAATTTCAATTAATCAATTTTCTTCATTCACATCAATGAGAAATAAACTTAAGGTCAGTTTAAAAAGTAATTGATTGTTTGTTTGTCTATTTGTTTATTTGAGAAACACAATCAAATCTTCTGATCATATTGTTTCAATCACCTTCATTCTATACACTCAATCTAATTACCTTATCATATAAATATATATAGAGAGAGAGAAGGAGAAAGAGAGGGAGATGAATTCATAGATTCGTCGGTCAATGTAATAAAGAACTACACTTTTGTTGATAGTTATATTCGAAAACAATTGTGGAAATTCTTTACTTCAAAGTCGAAATTCAATGAATTCAATTCATGTCAAAGATGACATAATATTCAGTATAGAAACAGGAATAATCAAAAGTGATGAAACAAATTGTATGCCAATTTCCTTCTATACAATTTCATGAAGAAATCTATAATGAATTGGTTAAAAATTCCAATACAGTGATGGTAAATTTATTACATATATTTATTCTATCTTGATGTAAATTAAAATGATCAATATAAGATTATGTAGATTTGATTGAGATCATGAACCGATTGATGTTAGATTAACATTGAAAACCTGGAAGCACTGAATGGTCGTTTTATCCTATTGTGAGACTCCTCAGCAGTGCGCATCCGCAATCCCACTCACGGGAGTCGAACCCAAATCCTTCAGTCTCGCGCGTGAACGCTTAACATTAACACCATTGGATGCCGGCTCAGTGGGCCAGTAGGTTAAGCGTTCGCACGCGAGATTATAGGACCTGGGTTCGAATCCCGTGAGTGGGATTGTGGATGCGCACTGATGAGGGGTCTCACAATAGGACGAAACAACCGTCCAGTGCTTCCAGGTTTTCAATGGTAATCTAACATCAGTCGGTTCATGATCTGAATTAAAACTTAACAATCTCTGCAACCCCTATGCTGACAATTATGGAGACTGTTGAGTTTAGATTGAGATCATGAATCAATCAATTTTAGAGTATCATTGAAAATTTGGAAGTACTAGATGGCTGTCTTGTCCTAGTAGGCACAATCCTCTCAGCGGTGCATATCCACGATTCCTCATGTAATGAATCAATAGTGATTAAAGAATCACTAAAACTTTAGAGTACACATAAATTTCTCAGTAAAATATTTCACAACAGTAATTTATTAATATTTTCGAGTAATGCAATATCTTGACTACCATTATATGAGTGAGTGAGTGAGTGAGTGAGTGAATGAGTGACTGAGTGAGTGAGTGAGTGAGTGAGTGAGTGATGAGTGAGTGATGAGTGAGTGAGTGAGTGAGTGAGTGAGTGAGTGAGTGAGTGAGTGGAGTGAGTGAGTGAGTGAGTGAGTGAGTGAGTGAGTGAGTGAGTGAGTGAGTGAGTGAGTGAGTGAGTGAGTGAGTGAGTGAGTGAGTGAGTGAGTGAGTGAGTGAGTGAGTGAGTGAGTGAGTGAGTGAGTGAGTGAGTGAGTGAGTGAGTGAGTGAGTGAGTGAGTGAGTGAGTGAGTGAGTGAGTGAGTGAGTGAGTGAGTGAGTGAGTGAGTGAGTGAGTGAGTGAGTGAGTGAGTGAGTGAGTGAGTGAGTGAGTGAGTGAGTGAGTGAGTGAGTGAGTGAGTGAGTGAGTGAGTGAGTGAGTGAGTGAGTGAGTGAGTGAGTGAGTGAGTGAGTGAGTGAGTGAGTGAGTGAGTGAGTGAGTGAGTGAGTGAGTGAGTGAGTGAGTGAGTGGATCCATCCATATCTATAATTGAGAATAGTTTCCATACAAATATTTCAAAACTTTCAATGTTGCCAATGACTGAGGGACTAACTAAACCTGTCAAAAACCTTTTTAAAAATGCGCTTAATGAAGTATAATCAATTCAACCACAATTCATAATGAACTTTAGAAATGATTGTGAGTATTCGTAGCACAAGTGTGTGTAATGTAACTTCTATTGGGTTCTTTAAGGTAGGTAATTTACTTTGAAAGTTTCAGTAGTAGTTTCAACCCCTACTTTTAATTTAAAGAGAGACTTATAATGTTGCTCAAACCGAAAGTGAATCATTTACATAATAAACGTAGCACAACAAGTATATTGAATAATATCGAATGGAATTTGTAATTAGTTTTCCACATCTATTTTGTTTAGCAGCCTATAAAAGACCAAGCACAACTGTTTTCTGTTAGTTTATTTACTGATTAAGCATTCAATCGTGTTGGGTTTTAAGTAGTTATCCACCGAAAACAATGGAAGATGATCTCTTTATGTCAAAGAATAATTGAAATTAGACATAACACCGTTGAGCAGTCACTCACTGATCTAATAATTAAATGTTTGTTCTAGACCAAAAATCCCTGGTTCGAGTTCTGCGTGCGGGATCATGGATGAGCACTGTTGACGAGTCTCATACTAGAACGAAACAGCTGTCCATTGCTTTCAGGTGTTTCAATGGTTTTCTAACTTTGATCGGTTCAAGGTCTTAATGAAACATCCTTTTTATAAAATCTACAAAATTTATCTTTAAATTTGCATTACATAGAAGTTCTGAAGTCTGTTTTTTTGTAATACCATCTCAATAAATTTCTATTGAATATAACTATGCCCTTTTGTCTCTAGATTAAGAATAGCAATGAAACTTTATCGATTTTTATGTAAACTCAATTCAGTGTCTTTTTTTCTAATGGTTAAACATTAGTACTATTCTGTAAATCTAATCGGCACTATCTGGTTTATAATCATTTTATTCACTGAAACATATAAATAGGTAAAAAAAAAGTAAACGATAATTTCTTTTTACCCGAAGGTATATCCACTTTGTGTGATCATTATGATAGTTAGGAAGCACGTACTAGGTAAGGATGGCAAATCAATTGATGAAGTAGTGACGCTTCATCAGTTGAGATGCCTGAGATACGTGTTAAGTATGCCGAATCACCGACTGCCTCGACGTGCGATGTCCAGTGGTATAGGAGTGGGTTGGAAGGGAACTAGTAGCGGCCAGACCAAAACATGGCACAAATCCATGAAGTCACTGACAAGTGGACTGAGCCATGTTGGTAGGTGTAGACTACCTGGTTGGGATCAGCGAGATGATAGCAATCGATGGTTAAAGACCTTGAATGACATGGCTGAAAATTGTTTGCAATGGCACAAGTGCATCCACTCTTTGTGTTCTCCCAAATTCTAATCTTCTGAATTCTTTATGTACCTTTTTTTCTCTTTTTAAATTTAATTCTCTGGATTATACTCTTGAATAACATCTTCAAACCCTAATCTTTCCGATTACTGCTTACACTCTTACCACCTCTACCACTACGGGATTTGAATCGACAACTGCATCTCTGTGCTAATGTGGTATGGCAACTCGAACTGATGTACGTACGTACGAAGTTCTACGTTGTTACTGACTGACTGACTGACTGAGTGAGTTATGATACAAAGGATTGATCTACAGTCTATGCATTACAGTCAATTGAACTCAGTTAGAAAACTCGATTAAAATTTTTTTGGTCTATTTTTATAGCAAAGGAAAGTTTTCTTTGAAAATCTCATTTTACTCTTGGGATGAAGTTGAACAAAACTCCTAAATAAATACAATGATCTTTAATTAATTACATAATTCTATAGTTTATATCCTTGGCTTGATTGAATACTTCAATATTGTATCCTCTGTCTTCTATCAATTGAAAGTTGAATAATTTGATCTCATTAAAGCTCTTGACTAAAGTTAACGATAATGTAGTGAACGAGAACAGCAGTGGAGACAACCAAATGCATCCGAGTACAAAATTACAGAATCTCCTAGTAAAATCCGAGGATCATACAGTTAATACTTCATTTATAAAATGTCAATCAATCGTCTCAGACTTCATTGTTTCTTCGTTTCCATACCAATCATTCTCTGTTCTCGTTCTTTGCTTTTCTCAACCTTCTACCACCAGGTATTTCACTTTCGAATAGTGATATATACTACTTATATCTGTCAATATCAGTAGCCTACATCCCAATAATACATTGGCGAAATTTCACTGCAACTTAATTAACTATAAAAGATTGATATTCACATTGTAAATTTTTAATCTTTGTAAATGCTTTATAAATACGTAAATCACCTAGATTACCAATAAAAAAAGTTTTTTATTAACAGCAATCCAAGCAACCAGAAGCCTCACATACTGTAGTCATCCAAGTACCGACAATCAATGATTTGAATATTAAGTCATGGTAAGTTTTCTTCATAATCATAATAAACTGTTTATGAGTTTCAGAGGTATTTAAAGAACATACTCTACATCCAAGCCAACCGGTTAAATGAACTTGATATATTAACTATGTAGAGTATATGTATGGTAAAAGTAGTCAGATCAGAACATGGTACCAGTCCACCGAAATCATCCTGTAGCCCATAATACAGTACAAAAACATTGAATAGACAGCGTAAGATTTACGATAAAAGCATTAAGTTGTTATTTGTTTAATCTTCAACAGTTATTGATAATTCTTATTTCCAATTTTGGGTGATACGGGGTCGAATCCGTCAGGGAGCACCAGTTCCCTCAAGATTACAGGTACACCTTGCTGACATGTGCCAAATAGCACGAAACCCGAGTCCGGGGTTTCCTGTTGACCTCCAACCACCATCTAATCTCAACATAGTTCACACAATGTCGAGTCACCCAGACTTGTGCCCACATTGCAACTTGGTCGATAGCATTCAATCTGCACTAATAAGGACTTGACACACATGACATTGATCACCACCCAGTGATCAATCAGTTGTGACTGTAGTATTTTCAAAGTTGAATTCATGGGTCAATCTAAGTTAGATCACCACTGGGAACCTGAAATCAGTGGACGGTCGTTACGTCCTAGTATGGGACTCCTCAGAAGTGAGCACCCACGAGCCCGCACGTGGGACTCCAACCCAGGACTTTCAGGTTCGCACGAGAATGCTCGATCTCTAGAAACTGAACTGGGATTTGACGGTGTTAATTTTAACTTCAATCGATCAATGATCTTGCACAAACCTCCATATTTATTGATAACTCTTGGTAATTTGAACGCTTATTCGGTTCCTAAGCTATTCTGGTAACCCGCAAACTAGAACTACGCAGCGACCTGAACTCAAGAGAAAAGGCGCAAAATAAGCGAGAAGCACTTTACTCCAAAAGTTCATTTTGTACAGAAAAACACGAGTATTTATAGATGTTAACATTTGTTAAATCAACATCATATTTTGGCCAATCCGCTAAGAGACATATTATGCTACTGACCAATAGTAGCATGCCACGTTGATATTCTAGAAAGCTCCATCATGCTCTGATTGGCTAAGACTCTTCGGCTCCTTTAGGGCCTCCGGAGGCTCCGTCACAGTTCTCGGAGAGCCGACTCAACATTTATTTCAAATAACTTTTGATATTTCGGATCAATCTAATATTTTATGAAGCAGTGGTATAATGCCTTTAGACCATTTTAAGAAGTACAATAGTAGCGACATGTTCATTGTTGTGATTAAGTTTATAAGTATACATTTTTATTTTAAATTTCCTGTATTATCTAAAGCTTGAATAATTTTAAAAAATGATTTTTGTTTGAAATTACTTCTATTGGTCAAGATCGAAAGATGTATAAGACCTAACACAGTTAATATCAAAGACTGGTCTTCATCAGAAAGGCATTGAAAACCAAAAATCACTGAGAATAGCTATCACATTCTAGTATAGAACTCTTAATATGGAACCACGTATTCACTGCCCCACCTCAAACTGAACCTAGTACCTACAGGTTCCAGGGTGAGAGCTTGAAATTTTAGGCCACTGAGCAGCCTAAATTCAATCATTTCTCGATATCGTGCCATCGTCACCTATTACCTAACATGAATAATTGTTGCACACTAGACACAGTTGAATTTCATTTGTCAGGTGTTGGGGACGATAGATCCCCAAACTTTATATATATATATATGTTTCAAATTGTGTTTGAGTGCTTGCTGCTTGCTTGCTCGCTCGCTTCTGGCTGTTGCAGAATATATTTTCCATATCAAGACTGGACTTCTTCTTCTAGATAGTTAGATCACTGGATTTTGGTCACTGAGTATTGTTCTCGTTCGCAGTTTGAGTGAACTCGTGAGTTTTCAAACATAACAGAAGGTTCGTGGGGATTTAGAAATTTCACAGATTGAAATCATGAGTCAACTGAAGCTAGACCACCATGGAAACAGTGAGCATCCACGATCCCGCACCCCACGAGATCTGAACCCAGGACCTATCAGTCTCGAGTCAGGCGCTTAACCAACTAGACCACTGAGCCGGTATCAAATGGTGTTAATGTCTAACTTCAACCAATCCACGAAGTTGCGCCACCGTATTCTATTGTCTTTAATGAGCCGATATCTCACAACAAACTGGTAACGGCTTCTCACTAGAACTCCAGGAGTATCTCTTGAAGTCAGTCACTAGTGAGCAGATGATTACTATCAGAAGGGGTTTGTGGAGATTTTAGAAATTTCACAGATTGAAATCATAAGTCAAGTGCTTCCAGGTTTTCCATGGTGGTCTAGCTTCAATTGACTCATGATTTCAATCTGTGGAATTTCATTTGTCACAAATGCCGATTCAGTTGTCTAAAGTCTAGTCACAAGACTGATTGTCCTGGGTTCAATCTATGGTGAGGTCGTAGATCCCACTTTTGATAAGTCTCATACTAGGAAGAGATAACTGTCAAGTGCTTCGTATTTTGTAGTGACTGTCTAACTATGATCATCCTATGAAGTAAACTATAAAAACTGAACAACCTCCAGATACTCTATACTAGTTAGTATAAATGCATAAATATTTGACTAGTTTATGAACATATGACATGATATCAAAACAAATAATTTTGTTTATACCACAAATTGGTAACAACTAACTATGCTCGAATTCATTATGTTAGATATAAGTGAACTAGACTGAATTTTTTATTCTCTTACATACATACAATTATACACATAGAGAAATCAATTGAATTCAAGAATAAACTGTGGGTTTTTTTCCTGTAAATTTACTAGTCTAAATGTTTCGTTTTTATCTAGTTATGAAATCACACATTTATGATTGATTAGTTTAACAGTATTCTAATAGTTGAATTCATGAGTCGATCTAAACTAGACCACTATCGAAAACGTGGAAGCACTGGACAGTGCGCATCCATGATTCGAATCCAGGATCTTTGGTCACGCGTGTGAACGCTTAACGTCTAGACCACTAAGCCAGAATTTGGCGGTGTTAATGTCTAACTTAATCGATCCATGAATGGGTGTGCAACCATTCCGCATGCGGGATCGTGGTTGCACACTGCTGAGGAGTCCCATACTAGGACGAAACGGTTGTTCATTGCTTACAGGTTTTCAATGGTGGTCTAGCTTAGATCGACTCATGAATTCAACTATTAAGATTACTAAAACCTCGACAAAACCCCATTCTGATTATTAACAGTATTCATTTACTTTTATGTAATTCAAATAATGTATACTAATGTATTTTTCGTTCATCAAGATTCAATGGATTTGCATTTTAAACTGTCTAATTTAAATGTAGTTAATTATTCAATTAAAATTAATTTAATGATAATTTGTGGGTATAGAAATTAGAAATTAACATTTATTATCCGGGTAAAAGCTTTCCACAATTGAAATTCTTACAGTGATAATACAATTAATAATGATGATCTAATGAGCTTTCAAAAACTATTCATCATATCTACTAGGAAGTATAAAGTTAAACCAATGTATTGATCCGAGCTGTTTATTTATCGATTAGGTTACTAGATTTTTGAATGAATTTATTTTACATTGTGGTACTCTTGAAAATTCGGAGCAGAATCCAACTCAAAACTCCTTAAAGTACCTCATGAATAGTGGAACTTAGTTTTATGGATTAACGTAAGCGGCTAAGTGGAAATTAGGCCCAGGCTCATTATGTTAAGACTGATGGAGATCGGATTAGTCTACCATTATGCCGTAAATATGTACTACCTGAAGCGCGTGTGGTAAAGATTAATATGATATGCAGATCTGGGGAAAGAAACCGTTCCTTCCTATACCTGACTGCATTATCACTTGGAAGACCTATCGAGTCTCGTGCAAACTATAGCGATGGCCATAAACTGTGCCGTAACCAATGCACAAGGATCGACACCAAATCCGTTTGCGGTATGAACATGAAGTCGAGGACAGTCCATAGATGCTTTTTTGTTCAATTATTTGAAAGTAAGCCTTTCATTAATTTCAAACTTTCACTAGGCTCCTACCCGGTGCAACAAAAACAAAAAGCATACCCACCTATAGTGTACTATGGAGTGTATGTGTCTCTGACCTGTAAACTTTATATATACATATAATGCATAATGCATCCACATCCCAAACTAGTGTATAGATTCTTGCTGTTCGCATCTTGTTGTTATAAAGTTTCTGGATAGGAAAAACCTTAGTGCAGCATAACGGAAGTAAATCAGGAACATGATCGTTTGCTTCATAAAGTATAATTATTTTGAAGTCCTTAATAAGAATCGTACAATAGTAAAGTACTAACTTGTCCGTTAGCCATACTTTCTCCGGTGTTCCAGTCTCAAATATCTTCAAAAAACCTCTTCTCTTCAACCTGAAAAGCTAAACGACGTTCCAACTTAGTTTGACAGGATCAATCAACGAATCATTTTGAAAAATTATACCCCTTAAGAAAGAAGTTTTTTAAAGGATTTTAAAATCTCTTTTTTATAATTTATTTCACCATACATGATAAGTTTTTTTTCAAATAGGAAGACTTGCATCTACTTAACAGAATTTGATTTTTCAAAAGTTATCAGAATGAGGATTTGTGGAGATTGTAGTAGTTTTAACAGCTGAGTTCTTAAGTCGATGTAAACTAGACCGCCATTAAAAACATGGAGGCATGTATAACCGGTTGGTCGTTATATGGGATTCCTCAGTAGTGCGCATCCACGAGTCCGGCATTCGGGACTCGAACCCAGAACAGAACTGAACGACCGTCCAGTGTTTCCAGGTTTTTACTGGTGGTCTATCATCGATCCATTCATGATATCAGTTTGAATATCAAATAAACGAGTTATCCTCAAACTTTTATTGGGCCGTATATGGAAGTATTTAAATAACTCGGAATATTGGCCTATTTTTAAGTCACACTCTGAATATATGCGCTGGATTATCATCGAGTAGTAGCCAATTTCGTGTCTATCTACTCCTTACTGCTAACTGAGTACCATCGACGATATCCCAATATCCTCACTGATTTCCTATGCTATGGTTGGTCGAAGCTGTGAGGATACCTCGGATCCGGATTTCATGGTAGTTATCACTTGTCAAAACCGCTTAACTGTTTTGCCAACTGTTTCAGTGGTAATACCTTAGATTGTGAAACTGGGTGGCGCGAGTTTACATTTCATATGGACCATCATTTCCCTTGAAATTTTAGCCAATTCTTGATAAAAAGATCAAACTAGTATAAAACCTAGGTTCAACATATTTTAACTATTAATTCCAGCTAACTGATAGCAAACTGAAAGTTTGAGCCAAATCCATTCATGTGTTCACTCATTTTTAATTTCTTTATCCTATTTATCAGTGATATATCTCCCAGATCAAACAATTTGATTAATACCCAAGAAGTTTGAATTCTACTGCAGCGATTCAATACACCATGTTCCGAAAATATTTTTGTGAAACATCCAACTATGTCCGTAGAAAATTGATAAAAACCGAACAAAAACAACAGCAACAAAGAAATTTATTTCCTCATCGATCAATAGCAGAGGTATCCTATAAAGCTTCCTATATATTTTCTAAGTAGAATACTTTCTCAACAAAAATTTAGTTAATTAACGTGTTTTTTATATGGATAACGTTAAGTACCATAGTAATACCAGTGAGTTTGACTGTTTGATAGACTTAAACAATAGTCAGATTGTTACCATTAAAGATTTATCTAAATTTGGCTTATCTCTCAATATGCTCACATCGTTGATCTCTGATAAAATCAATCATTATGTCTATTGGTTTCATAATTGACATATGAATACTCTCTAATAACTATCAATATCATTTTCTAGATGCACGAAATACATTTTCATCACAAAACTTCCAGGAAATTTCTCTTACTGACTGATAGTAATCAGTTATATATTAGAATTGGAACTTCATCCCATTGCAAAAGCTAGTGGCTATTTGGACTCATTAGCTAAGTAGATAAATCGGTGGTATTTGAAACGAACTGTACTGGGTTCGAGTCTTGGAGTGAACATCAAATCTGTGATGCACATACATCCAACTGATGAGTCCCGAATGGGACGAAACGCATGTCCAGCATTCCGTTGCCAACCATCATCTATCTCTGTTTATAATGCTTGTAACTTAAAGTAATATCAAAGCAATCCGCACAGAATACACATATGCCAATAAAAGATGATCAATTAGAATCCTAAACATCAATGGAAAGAATCAAACAAACAACACAAAAATAGGTTGGTCATATATTCGCTTCCAAATGTGAATTAAACCAAAGTTACTAAAAGAAACTCTTTGAAAAGACGATGTTGGATTTTTTTCTCTGAGCTTGATAGTTTGGTTGTGGAGCTCTCATCGTTCTTCTGAACGACATCATCAGCACAATCATCAGATAGAAATAAAGTGTTCGAATTCCTCCACATGTGGTTCACAACTCGTCCTGTAGACCTCGATGTTGATTAGTTCTTGTTGACCTTAAACCTGTCATTGTTTACTTCATTGTTTTGGTTGTATTCCCCATTGGTTTGATTTTCGTTCCTATGTTTGTGCATAATTTTCCTGACTGATTGATAAATTAGATCGATTTCAATATGCTTGTCGATTGCTGATTGACCTGAGTGCCAAGCTTCTAAAAATTCTCCGGTGTTTTTGGAATTTCCTATATCCAAGATTTCCACATTTTTCCAGTCAAAACGAGTGTCCCCAGTTGTCCTTGCGCATTGATATAAGTGAGGAAATGTCATGGCGTTTGACTGCCAATTGTTGTTCATGCAGGCGAAGATGAAAAGGGCGTCGCTTTGTCCGATGTAGTGTTTTTCGCAGTTGGTACAATTTATTTTGTAGATGATGTTGGTTTGTCTTCTTTTTCATTTCATCATTTGGATTGATTGTAATGATTTTGTAGGTTGTGTGCAACACTTAATGCGAAGGTTTTCAGCAGTCTCATTGTGGCTTCTGATAGGTATCGATCTAATTTATCAATCAGTCAGGAAAATTATGCACAAACATAGGAACGAAAATCAAACCAATGGGGAATACAACCAAAACAATGAAGTAAACAATGACAGGTTTAAGGTCAACAAGAACTAATCAACATCGAGGTCTACAGGACGAGTTGTGAACCACATGTGGAGGAATTCGAACACTTTATTTCTATCTGATGATTGTGCTGATGATGTCGTTCAGAAGAACGATGAGAGCTCCACAACCAAACCATCTAGCTCAGAGAAAAATGCTCCATCAAAATCATCCACCTGAGCTATAAATTTTCTCCACCATCACAGAATTACCTGATCTCCCTGAACTAAAAATACTCATAAGCCGGTTCAGTTTCATGTTTTCTTTTCTTTTTTTATAGATTGGTATTGCAATTGGATTATGGAGAAAAATTGATAAAATGCATCAACAAATTGATGATGTTAAGAAATCTCATGAAAAGCACAATCATGTACGTCAATTACGTTTATCGCATACACAAAAATACTGGAGAATATTGTTAAACGTGGTAAACGTATAGCTCTGTTACAAAAACGAAGAAGTTACGAAAAAATGCAGTTCAATAAACGGAAATCAGATCAAATTAAAGTACAGAATGAAGTAAGAATTTATTTTGTTCGACAGAATGCATGATGTATTGAATAGTTCTACCAATAATTCTGTATGGTAGACTTTATCAGTTAGTTTTCACTTACATAGTTCTTAATTAATATTATATCCTATACTTACTTACATCTGTCATCCCTCCCCATGGAGGAGCACAGGCCGCTCACCAACATTCTCCATTCAACTCTGTCCTGGGCAATTCTTTCCAGTTGCTATTAATCCTTTTCATATCTGCTTCCAATTCTCGATGCAGTGTGTTCCTTGGTCTTCCTCTTTTCCGTTTCCCTTCGAGAATCCAAGTTAGCGCTTGCCTCGCGATGCAGTTTGTTGATTTCTGTAATGTATGTCCTATCCACTTTCAATGTCTTTTCCTAATTTCCTCTCCAGCCGGCAGCTGGTTTTTTCTTTCTCACAGTAGGTCGTTGCTGGTAGTATATGGCCAACGGACAATGGGTATCATGCGTAGACGGGCAGTAACCCTAGAAGAGCTGTAGGCGGAGTTATTATATCCTATGCCAAATAATAATACATTCAACAATAAAATCAAATACTTTGTTTACAAACTGAGTATTCATTATTATCAACGACAGTATTTTGAAGTTGTTCAAAAGCTGTTTCGTTTGTAAAGAGACAAATGAATCTAGGAGTAAATTTGCATTTGTCTATAAACAAAATAAAAAATAAATATCTGCCAAAGCCTATCAAACTCCAAGTCCTTCAAACGACTGAAGTAGTAACCATTCGGATTAAGAAATATATTCAACCGCTTCTCATCCCCTATCCAATCTCAAGGCCAATTAATCAATAGTAATCTTAGATATTAAAGAGGAAGAATGTATTTATAAAATATCAGTGAATGAATTTGAAGTAAATCAAACATTTCATCTGGCAATCTGGTCCAAGCTTTTTTAAGGAAATATAATCAACCGTCACAAGTGTCGAATATAAATAGGTACATGGTTCTCCGGTTTACTGTATACTGAATAGGTCATCCAATCAACGTGAACACTGTTTAAGTTAGGTAGTTGCATTAGTGTGTAAGAGACATGTGGTATGAAACGAGAAGTGTTAAGATAACAGATTATGTGTATACATAAGTGGTGTGAGAATAAATTCCATTCACTATATATTGTCTCTGGTCGGTGAATATTATGAAAACATATGATGTTTATAAATGATAAAAATCAAAAATGTCACAGCATGCATAAAATGAAGATAAATAAATAAGATGACGAAATGAATTCAAAGAGAAAGAATATATTTTCAGAAGGGGTTTGTGGAGATTTTAGAAAATTCCACAGATTGAAATCATGAGTCAATTGAAGCTAGACCACCATGGAAAACCTGGAAGCACTGGACGGCCGTTTCGTCCTAGTATGGGACTCCTCAACAGTGCGCATCCACGATCCCGCGCCCTGCGAAACTCGAACCCAGGACCTTTCAGTCTCGCGCCAGGCGCTTAACCAACTAGGCCAGTGAGCCAGCCGGCATCCAACGGTGTTAATGTCAAACTTCAACTAATCTTCGAAGTTGCGCCACCGTCCACCATTGTCATCAGTGAGTTACTATCTCACAACAGACCCGGTTGAACTCCATTGGTCATGGCTTCTCATGAATATATATATTATTGATTGTTTATAGTTGTATTTGTATTCATAAGTAACCGGAAAATCATCCCGCCTCGCGAGGCGAGATTGTAGGTGTGCACTATCGAGGAGTCTCACAATAGGACGAAAAGGCCATCCAGTGCTTCCATGTTTCCATGGTGGTCTAACTTCAATTGATTCATGATCTCGACTATTAAAATTACTATAATATCCACACACACACACCCCACCTCTGATTAAAAATATTATTCATCGATAGTTTTCTTTTCTTTTTGTATTCTTATTTAAGTTAAATGAAAAACTAAAAATGAATCGGGAAAAATTTAAATTTCTTGAAAATGACCAAAAACAATTAAAAATCAATAAACAATTAACTGAAAATTATCTGAATTATAAACAAAAATTATTAGATCATGAATTATTGATTCAAGAGAAATATCAACATTTAATAAATTTACAAAATCGCACAAATCAAATCAGGTAAATTCAATCAATCAATAAATCAATAAAATAAACTTTGACAAAATGATAAGTAGATGCTAGATCCTTAGCATTCAATTGGAAATTTGATTTTTTTTTTTTGGTTTTTACGTCAAATGTGCCCATTTTCACCTTTAGATTATATTTCCCAGTTGGAATGATCTGAACTATCATTGATTCGTTGTTTCTTTTTGTTATATCTTGAATGTTTATTTCTTGCTATACCGCGTATAACTTGAGCACTAGAACACCAAAACCCTTCCAAGTCACAATAAGAAGACAGAAGACTAATGAAAGGAATATTATTCCCAGACAGTGTCAATTATAGTACAAAATTGTCAGGTATTTGTAGTTTTTAGTAAGAATGAAATCATCATTACAGTCCTCCAATCCGTATACACGGGCTATTAGCACTGTCCAACCGGGAAGCTACATGTGGAAATTCTAGAATATTCTTCCGAAAGGTGATTGGATGGAACATCTTCGACTCCTTCTGAGCCTCTTACAGCTTCCTCGAGTTCACTCGTGGTCCGTCGTCACACTTTTAATATGCTATTTTGTGATATTTCCCGAGGACATTTTTATGCTGTATATATTTATATATATATACGCTTGAATTGTACTTGTTGTTATTTGTGTTTCTGGCTGTTTGTGGGATACACTTTCATTTCTTCTGAACCTAGATTACTTCCTCTAGTTAGTGTGACTGGGACACATCGGAATAGTTAACTTTACATTTAAATCTCTGAGTCTTCGTTCCATTCGTTGATTTAGGTAATCTCTTCAAACATAACAAGAAATAGATGAGTTTTTGATGTTCACCATGTTATGAAAGCATGTTTTTCATTTTAAAAAAGTTATTTTTAAATCACTAATTCAGACTAGTCTTTTGGGTGAGACTAAAAGTTTATGGACGAACCAATCAGATTTACGATAACAGGTCTTAGATTTTGGCGCGAAATTCATTCACCCATTTGGTTAAACAGTGTCTTGAAATTATGACTGATGTCAGTTCGTTATGAAAACCCTAAATCTAATTCCCAATTCTAACCATCAACTGTAAATCATAATTATACTTCTTCAAACTGCTTTATAACCATCATTTAGCCCTAGCAAGTAAGTAAACACTCTCAAGGTCACTTTAGCGTCGCTCAAAGGTCGTTAATAAATTATAGTTGTTGAAGTGTTCAATAATCGGATATCAAAACACACAGAACTTAAAATATACACATATTACCTTTATTCTAAGCTAGAAAAATATATTTCTAACTGTTTTCCTATATTATCGTACGATATACAAGTCAATCTAAGCTAGACTACCATTGAAAACTTGGAAGCAATGAACGGCTGATGGTCATCTAGCTTAGATTGACTCGTGAATTCAACTTTGAAAATACTACAATCTCCAAAAATCCCCAAAATTGATTATACCTTTTTAATTCATATAAATAGTTGAATACAATGACGATTATTTCCATTTCCATTCTTAGATTTGAATTATTGTTCTACTGATGAACACATGTGGAACTATATGAAATGAATGTATGACTTTGGAAATATATTTCATTTTGTTTGATCACCAGTTTGTTGAGAGTAATTTGCCATAGTAACCAGTTGATTGAGTACGACAAAATTAGTTCTAGGTTTGTATTAGATTTGTCGTCTGTGAATGTCGACATTGTGTATTTATCTTGTTACGTTCGAAGCTTGATATTAGTGACGTTGATCATTACTAAATAAAATCTCTAATTATCGGTTACATAATCCCCAGATTTTTAGTCATTACCGAATCCTGTCCACTCTTAATTGCTATACTTGCTCAGAGCAAAACATTGTTGTGATTGTATTGTCATTAAGTTCAGAGGTTTAAATCATACTAATGATTCCATCCGAAAGTTTTAGACGTTAAATGTTGGCAGATAGCCTCCTTGACATAATATTCCCATTAATCACTATAGTTTCAGTCACTTAGTGCTGTGAGTAAGACAGTCAGTAGTTGATGAATTGTATATATATATATATATATCAGTTAGTCAGTCAACAACATGAAACTTCGTACGTACGTACATCAGTTCGAGTTGCCATACCAAATTAGTGCAGAGATGCGATCATCGATTCAAATCCTATAGTGGTATGGGTAATAAGAGTATAAGCAGTAATCAGAAAGATTAGGGTTTGAAGATGTTACTCAAGGAGTATAATCCAGTCAAATAAATTTGGAAATAGAAAAAATAGGGATATGAAGAACTCAAATTAGAATTTGGGAGAACACAAATAGTGGATGCACTTGTGCCATCGCAAACGGTTGTGAGCCATAGCATACACAACATACCCATCAATACATGGTATTGTTTATAGTTCTCTTATTCTCACAGTGCATTACTATTATTATTGCATGAATCTCCTCTTAGTTAATTGTATGGTTTTCAGATTTTACTAAGATGTTCTGTAATGTAAAAACTCACTTGGTGTTGTTTTACTTGTATTTTCCCATTGTTATTTAGGACTACAATTGATCAGTCTCATGTTGACATATGTGCATCTTGTGCGGATTGCCTCGTTATAGCCTTAAGTCACAAGCTTTTTAAGCAAAGATGGGTTCAAGTGCTGGAGTGAACATCAACTCTAGGATTCAGGTATATATAGCTGACGAGTCCCAACTAGGACGAAACGCGCGTTCTTGATTCCACTGTTAGCCACTATCCATCTTGCTTATTCTGTAATGTGTTAAAATACATTTAGAACAACATATATAAGCGAACAATATTGTTTTCGATTAGATCCTCATCAGGCTTTACTCTAATATACAGTAATATTTATATGCATATACGAAATTATTAAACCAATCAAGGTAGTTTATAAGTCAATGATAACAATGGAAAAGATTACATAATAAGTAAAATGTGAAAATTACAAATTGATGGTGTGACAACAGGTGCATTAGTTTTTGATAAGCAATAATAATAATGGTTCAAATCAATGTTACATAATCTGAAATAGGTCAATGATTAGGAAAATATAGACAGTGAGATAACAATTATAAGATTATAAGATGACGTAATAAGAAATGTTCAGATAATTGGACCATGAAACGTATAGTTGAGAGAAAATAAAATGGTAGGAGGGTGTGAAGAAAAATAATAAACGAAGAGAAAAAAGGAATAAATAAATAAATTCATTTATTACTTAAGGCCAAGGGAGAGATAAGGGAGTTACAAATTTCTTCTGGACACAAAGACTTGGCTTGTTGGCTCGGATTCCTATAGCTTCTGCTATGTGTAAGAGACGAGATCGAACACCATAAGGAAAACTAGTGGGAATCCGATAAATAACTTTGAACGACTTGTTTCTGTCCACTATATGACCGCTATCGATCAAGTGTGATAGAACCGAGCTGCGTATTGTTTTGACATAGCCTTTTCCTAACCACGAAGGGAGGTGTTCACTAACTCGTTGGTTCAGTTGCCTGGTAGTGCGCCCGATATAGCTTTCTCCACAGGAGCAGCTGAATTCGTAGATACACATAGAAGTGGCATAACCAGGTAACTTATCCTTCAATTGCGGAATCACCATCGATCGGGTCGAATACGATAGGCAGAGGTTGGCAGCATTAAACGTTCTCTTTACTGATTTAGTCATCTATCTCGTAATACATCGCTTTAAAATACATTTGTTTATCCCCTATTTGTATATTCTTACTTTTATAGATCCCGAATAAATAAGCTATTAAAACTAAAAAGCAACATCAAAATGAATTATCTTCGGAAATTCATTGGAATCGATTATGTGAAAAGTTTACTATTGAGTCAAATATACAAGAGCGTAAATTAAAAGAATTCAAATTAACTAGTGAACATGTGAAACAATTACGTAATCAAAAACTTGTAAAAATCCCTATCTCCATGAAATTAACTAATTTAACATTAGATAATTAATCGTTTATGTAATGTAATACAATGTGTACTGGTACATAATTGAATATTATGTGTTTATAATCATGGGAAAATGTCTTGGGATTATTATCTTTAAAAAAAGCTATTGATTGAACTAATATGTTTTTCAATGGTTGAGATCGTGAGTCAATTGAAGCTAAACTTCGATGGAAAACCTGGGAGCACTGGAAGGCCGTTTCGTCTCATTGTGCGACGCCTCAACAGTGCGCATCCACGATCCCGCCTCATGAGGTTCGAACTCAGGACCTATCAGTCTCGCACGCGAGCGCTTAACCTCTAGATCACTGAGCCGGCCGGTATCCAACGATGTTAATATCTAACTTTAACCAAACCACGAAATTGAGCGACACATCCACGATTGTCTTCAGTGAGATCCAAGATTCGGATCCTGAGCATAGGATCACGGATGCACATTACTGAGGAGTCCCATACTATGACAAAACTGTTGTCTAGTACTTTTCATTTGATAAAAATGATCTACTATGGCAAAAGTATCATTGAGAAAGTTTTGGTTCGAGTTAAATATATGTTACATTACTAAAAATAAAGTCGAACTATATGTACCTACGAGCAAAGCATTTTCAGGAATAAAGGCCATAGTAAATAATGACAGGATAGTACTATATACGTAGTGTATACTACTTATGTTGACAGATATACGTAGTATGTAGCACCAGTCGAAAGTGGAATATATACCTTCAAAAAATTGGGAAGATTCAATGGAAGGAAATAGAAAGTAATCGTAATAACAACAGAACTGAAGGAATCATGTGGAGGAATACTGATGGAAGATGTGCAAAACATGAATTTGATGTATAGTTTTCATATTTTATGAAGGTACTTTGTAATTTTGCATCAAACAATAAATTGGTCTTCCCCACCTGCTTGTTCGTTCACTACAGATATTAAGTTATGCATATAAATATGTATGTATGTGTCCTGTTTAAATATGATGCTCTGAATACATGATGTATTAATCACGAAAAATTTGCAAACTGTTCACTGTAGTCATATTGGATACAACGCTTGGATCACCGGTAGGTGTTGGCTCAGTGGTCTAGAGGCTAAGCGTTCGCGCTTGTGATTGGAGGTCTGGGACTCGAATCCCGTGTGCATTATCGTAAGTTTGCATTGCTGAGGAGTCCCATACTAGAACGAAATGGCCGTCCGGCGCTTCCAGGTTCTCAGCGGTGGTGTAACATCAATCGAATCAAGATATCAATCAAAAACTCAACAATCTCCCAAACACCATACTGAAAATCTAATAAGTTGAACTCATACATCTTTCTTTCAAAAAATAACAAGGATTTATATTTTATTACCCAATGAAATTATTTTCATATTCTGGAACTATAACCTTGAGCAGTTATAATTAAACCCCTTTTAGAACTTCAGTCCTTAACTTCATTCAAAACTAACACAACTTAATCATTACTGATTAACAGCTCATCTTTCAATATCATGTTAATTGGTTAGTCAGTCAGTCAGCTACAACATAGGACCAGACACATATATGCTTCAGTCCAAGTTACCATTTATGTTTATAATGAAAAACAATTCGGTTTATTAGTTTATATGAAGCTGAAGAGAAAGCAGCTAACTACAATGAATCAGTTTTATTGTACTCTGCAAATATTGTCGCTTTGTTTTGTTTAAATGTTGGTGATGGGAACTAATTGCACAGAATTCGTACTAACTGTAAACTAAATGCCATCTGATTTGTACATTTTTGTAATAGTGTGAATAACCACATTTGTACACTTCTTTCTATATCTCAATTAATGTTCAGTGAATATATATGTGTACTGTTGACTTTCTTGTTCAGAGAAGATATAATGATAGCATGTCAAGATGAAAGAATTTATAAACCAGGGTTATGACCCATGTAAAACTCTGATATCACAGGTCATAGAGACAAATTTATATGGCAATTTATTTGACTAGATTACTTCTATAAGTGAATACCCTCATAAAAAAAACGAATGGATAGAGCATGTATTTACAGATCCCCTATATTACTGATTAAATTACTTACGTGACAGATCCATTTCCTATGAGAATGTTTAAAATTCAATAAACAGTTCCAATAGATAATGTTCATGGGCAAGACTTCTTGAATAAAGTTATACAATCTCTTGATATTGATGTCATATCAAAGCATATTACTGAAACAGTTCTTTATCATAAACAAGGTTTTCAATCCATCACCTCTTCCACATTAATTTGATTTCTCTTACACTACTTATTAATATTCAGTAGCACAAAAATATATATGGATTGTTAGGATGACAAACGTGTGTTTTTTTACATTTCATTCAAGTCGTTTACTCTACCAATGCTTATGGTTTTATCCTCATTCCTTCGCGTTCATCATCTTCCTGTAGGTCTATTACTAAATTTTGTTTTTTCTTGATCGACTAACCTAGTCCCTCAAATATCTTATTTTTCAGAAGGGTTGGCGGAGATTGTTAAATTTTGTGCCATAACATAAGCTGGATTTGGTGAGATAAATGTATGACTTAACAACTTTCCCCACCCAACATGGTGCAGCTTAGAATTACGCATCTTTGACTTCCCCTTAGCTTTCATGTCAAGTACCTAACCGTCAAATCATTCAAGTGACAACCTAAGAACTCATTAAGATGAAGTGGCTTTCCAGTGATTTTTGGTTCTATTGCTAAGACCAATTCATTAAAGAAAGCTACAGGACATTTTATTTTTTTCTGAATATTGAGGATAGAAGTTTGAATTCAATATGGATGAACGACTTCAATTTTGGCTGAACTCAAACCATCTGTGAAACAAACTATCTTAATAATTTGGTATTAGTAATATTGTATTGAATTAGTGCTTGGTTTAAACGAACTTGTCTTCTTAAATTCCACTTCCCTGACTATCATTATAGGTTAACCGTCAGGTCTCAATGAGTAACGGTTAAAATGAATAGTGCTTGTTAGAAATTGATTATAGTTAGTATATTCTTTTCATCTTATGCAGTGTTATTTAATCATGCATTATTCAATACAATGACAACTTTTGAATTTGCCAGTTCGTGTGATTCACAGAGACATTTCAATTTATAAGAGCTGCAAAGCAACAGTTTGAGCACCTTTTTAGACTACTTGGGTCCACTGAAAATAAGATAGTTAAATTACCTATTTTGTTATTTTAAGTGTTCCTTAATTGTATATATGGTCTTAGCTCCAGAAGACATTTCGCCGAGATTTTTTAGGATAAGAAACACTCAGTTGGAACTCAGGTACGACATTATAGTTAACAAACATTATAATATTGTGACGTGTGCTACTGATGTCGACAAATATAAGTAGTATATAACACCAGTCAGAAATAGAAGATCAGACAGCAGAAGTTTGGGAAGATCGGATCGATGAAAACGGGTACAGATAGTAATTGTTATGAAATTGAAGGAACAATGAGATTTGAGATAATTGATGGAGTATTTGTAAATGAATTATTGAATGTATGGTTTTCACGTTTTACCAAATAACTCTGTAATTTGTATTGAATTATGTGTGGTATTTACCACGTATATTCTTGTTCATTACGATATCTTTTTCAGTTAAATACTATTCATGACTGCGGTTATCTTTATTATGGAGTGAAAATAGTCTTATTCACATTAATCTGCGAATGAGTATCTTCGTGTTTGAGTAGCAATCCTTCTAACGAAATGTATGTATTAATTTATCATACAAAGGTAAAATGAACTCAGTTCAACTAATCCACATTTTGCAAAGCTTACAATGGTCAGATGTTTATAAACGTTAGTTATGGAATAACGTTTTTTGAGATACTCTAGTTGTTTATAACTACTACTGATGTTATAAATTAACATTTGATGTAGACTGGGAACACTAATATTTCACATTGAAGATATCACTGTACAAATTTTATCCATTCCTAAAACTATGGAGATCTTGATGTGACAAACTGCTTATGAATCTCTGAAACTCACTGCGATCATGAACTAATGAATTCCTCATACATCAGAAAAGACTATATACACATTCTAAGCAAAAATGGATGGTGAGTAGTAGTAAGAGCCACGACGCGCGTCTTATCCAGTTTTGGACTCGTCATCTGGATGTAATTGCATCTCAGAGCTGATATTCACTCTGAGACTTGAACTCAGCACCATTACTTCAAACACCACGTTATTCACTTAGCCATTGAATTATGATAACCACTCGCTTGCGCAATGGGGTGAAGTTTAAATTTACTTGTTATTGTTTACTTGAATCTTCCTACTGATGTTTAGGACTGTGATTACTCAGACGCCAACAGTACTGAGTTCGAGTCCCAAAGTGAATATCAACTCTGAGATCCATGTACATCCAACTGACGAATCCCAAATAGAACGAAAGCATGTCCAGCATTCCTCTACTAACCACTATCCATCTCTGCTTATAGTGCTTGTAACTTAAGGCAATATCGAGGAAATCCGCACAGAATGAACATATGCCAATATGAGATTGATCATTTGCAGTCCTAATCATCAGTGGGAAGATTCAAGTGAACATATATATATATATCCTCATCTCCCTATGTCATCACAGTAAACACCGTAAAATATTTATTTAAAGAAAATTTCATGTATAAAAACCTTATCAAATAGTTAATTTAACTAAAGGCTAATTCAAATCAACTATTTACTGAAATATTCAACAAATGTTTTCTTTATTTATTAAAATAAATAGTCATCTTGGTGAGATTATAATTTATGGACGAGCTTTGAGCGACGCTGAAGTGATCTTGAAAGTGGACACCTACTGATTAAGACTAAATGAGAATTATAAAGCAATTAAAATTCTCATTTACAGTTGATGGTTAGGTTTACAAATTAGATTTAGGGTTTTCATCACGAGTTGACATCAGTTATAATGCCAAAACTCTACTAAGCCAAATGTATGAATGGATTTCGCGCCAAATTACATGACACGTTATCTTATTAATGACTTTAT